AAAGCCTGGGCTTTTGCTTAGTGTGATATTCTGATGACAGACTTTCCTGGATTTTGAGTCTCAAGGTGCAACGAAACCTTAAAAATAAAAAATAAAAACACCTTAAATAAAAGGCCCGTCCAAAAAAATAAACCCCAACATTTCATGAGATCACCGACGACTAAGCTGTATGTACATTATCTTACAGGAAGAAATAAACATCGTTTAAAACCAATTACGGAAAAATACCTTCTCGGTTATTATTACTATTATTAATATTACAAATGGTTTTTTTGCTTAAAAACTACCAAAATATACATTTTTGTCATTTTGTTAAAAAAATGATTTTTGATTTCTGTTTATTTTCTTGCTTCTGCGTTAAAATTCATCACGAACCTAACACTGAGACAGACGCCCAAGCTCACGAAAATGGGAGCCGCAGCCCCGAACATGCCTGGTATTCTGACCGGAGAAACACGTTCATCCTCTCTGCAAAATATTCTCTCCCTCTCCTCCGTGTGACATCATGATGCCGGTTCAAATTTATGACAAAGGTCGTCAAGTGAACCCAAAGCGACAATCCAGACATAAAAACCGTTAACTTACACTTCGTCAACAATAACAAAAACAAAGGAAAACTGCAACAACAAAAGCAGGTGCTTCTCTTCTAAATAAAATTACAATCTTTTTTAAAAAAAAAAACAAAAAACTTTTTTGTTCCATGTTTTTTTGTTCGCTCGAACAAAGTTGATGTGGCAGACTGGCCACCTTAAAAACAGATTAAACCTACGTAGGTGAGGATGTGAACAAGGGATGTTATGCAGGTAGTGATGTTAGTAGAGGAAACAGGAAGTGGGAAAAGCTCTTCTGCCATTGGGTAGAACTGGGGGTGGGGCAGAGTGAGGGGTGGGGGGAGGTCATGTGACAGCTGGCGTGGCCTTTCGGGGTGTGCCATAATGAAGACACCCAACGTTTCTCACTGGCTCAAAGCAGCATTTACTTCTCTGATGTTCCACACAGGAGACCCTTCAGAAAGACAGATGGAATCGCTGGGTTAAGAAAACGCACCCGGAAACACGGCTGGAGGCTCACACTCACAATGAGGCAAGGGGACCGTTCACCGTGCCCGGCCGTGCACAAGGAGCAGCCGTCTGGAGAACACGACAGACTCACCTTCTTCAGTGGTAGCCGTTGGTGAAGGCCGTAGCAATCAGAGGACCCTGGGAGGAGAACATACATAAGGATGTGCAGGGACAGCGCCTCCCCAGCAGGGGGTGCACAACTCAATGTGCTGGTGATTCAGAAGTAAACCCCAAGGGCTGCCCTGTGGTTCAAATTAAACCCACAGCAAGTGCGTGCAGTTAGACTTGCCAGCCAATTATCACCTTGTCAAGTTGGGGCTTGTTGAAGCATCTGCGCACGGCGTAGATAACATCCAAACAACCTTCAAGGTGATTTTAAAACAAATATCAAGTAGCAGTCACTCATGATTTTTAATTTTTATACCACACATATTTATATTTAATTAATCGTGAGCAAAACATAACATCTCCACTCCGCTGGACATAGAAGGTAAGAGGGCGTTCCCATTAAAGGCACTGACTGTTTGTTGGTTCCTCCATCAAAGAGGACTGAGACCCAAACTAGGAATTAAGTGATTTCCTGTCAGGTCTAGCCTGGATGCAGCTCATACTCTTCAAAGGATTTTAACACAGTTTGGGAGATGCAGCTAAGCTGGCTTCTTATGCTTCAGAAGAAGGTGAGATTACAGGACACAGGGAAGAGCCGTCTTATCCCCACAGGTGGCAGGACACCCAACAGACTGTGGAGCCGGAAGTGGACACCCAGCATGGGCCACAGCGCTCTGGGGCTCAGACACCCAGCATGGGCCACAGCGCTCTGGGGCTCAGACACCCAGCATGGGCCACAGTGCTCTGGGGCTCAGACACCCAGCGGACGCCTCCAGAGTCAACTCCGAGTTCCAGTCATGCAAGAACAAAATCGTACCCCAAGGCCGGGGCCAAATCCGGTGCTGGGTGCCGGGCTTGCGGCGCTGATGTAACTGCTGACTCCAGAGTCCTGATTGGCTGCTGCATACAGGTCTGCCATTGGTCCAGGGCTGCTAGTGCCCAGAAACCCTGCTGTGCGGGATGGGGTGGAGCCTGTCAGGACAGAGAGGACTTTAAATACAGAGCACATGCTAGTATAGAGAGCAAACCATTGAGTACACAAATAATATTTATATTCTATATTTTCCATTAATTTTCACCACGGGGGACCCTGAATTGGATGAAGCTGGGTTGATGAATGAATGAGGGATGATGAATGAATGGTGGATGGCTGTTATCTTTTTTTCCCGAAACATTCCGTGACCATTCAGCTGGAATACCACCCAAGTGCTAAGGGAGGTACCAGCAGTAACCTCCATGTCGCCCTTGCAGGCATCCCAGACCCCCCATGCGAGCCCACCCCCACCCCGACCCCCACCTGAACACGTACCTCGAACTACCGCCGCGGCTGCAGCCGCAGCCATTGGTCCGTATGCCGTCAGTGGAATGGCTGAGGATGAAAGGGTGTGGGGGGGGGATAAAAGGTTTACTGACACTCAGCAAATGAACCAGAACATTCCCCCAAACATCAGCGAGCCAGAACCCCAAGGCAACCTGGGACAGTTTAAGGAACAGGAACAACGCTAGTGTTCAGGAAAACAATCTGCACTGCTAGTCTAGCAAAGGGTAACTAATATTTAAGTGCAGACAGGTTACCCAGTGTGTACCTGTCCAGCTTTCAGATTCCAAGCGTGTGTGGACTGGTTACAGACCCGTTTTGTGATTAAGCCTCAGTCAAACTTTAAACTGATATTCGTTCGACTCGAAGCCAATAACTGAACAATTGGTATAACGCTAAATTTAAATTTCCAAAACAACATGGTAAATTCAATTAGATACAAACAATAATCATGAATTACACAGGCTCAGCAACTAGGCCTCATTTCAGAGCCGCTTCTGCATGTCCGAAGCCAGAACTGGCACCTTCGAAAAGGGACCAGCCTATTATCTGGACGGGGCCACCGGGGGCGCCGTCGTGCCAAGCCACACAGATGGACAGATCAAGTGCTGCTTGTAAACCTCAGTAGAGGAGGAACTGACCTGTGATCTCGGGGGGGTGGGATGATGTCAGAAGGGGGGTCCTCTCTAAATGGAATTCTAGAACAGAAATGTCAGAGCGATTTTTAAACACACGCCATCTGCAGGTCTAAGAGAAACAGTGCAAGCGCGTGCACACACACACACACACACACACACACACACACACACACACGGACGCTGGACAGGGAAGGGCGTTAGGAAGCAGGAGAGGTCAACACAGTGGTT